CGTATTTTAAATATTAAAAGGAAACTAATTAATGTATGAACGATTGCCTTTCCCGGGGCTAATGACTATGACCGAATCACACTGAACGAAATGCTGTTAATGAACTGAGCGTCTTCTTTTTGAACGATTAAAATCATTGTGAACAAATGAAGATCCTCATTTTCAATTTGACTACTTCAGGCATCGGTTTTCCCAATCAAAAGTTTGTTCAAAAAGAATGTTCTTACTACTATGGATATCTTAAAAATGAATGTGAACTCAATGAATTTAAGGATTTCTGTATTATAGGCTAACTGGTTTGTGAAATATTTATTCTTTTATTGTAAATGATTTTGCGAGTACGCCTGTGCGTGCATGTAGCTACAGTAACTCTAGTTGAATGCATATGATGCTGTACAGAAAATAATTAATTACACGTTTTTTATTAGTATTCTAGTATTAGTATATCCATGGGTCTCTTAAAAGCCCATGGTATATCTGTTGGCGGTGATGATGAAAATGCAACGTTCCACTTCCAAAAACTTACTTAATTGCCAGAAAGATTAATTTGTTTTCCATGTTGCACTGTACAATTCGTATTATTAAGTTAGGGTTAGACGTCCTTTGTTCTGTGTCACCCTTCAAAACAGGGGAAATCTCTTGTACAAAAAACAGAGTTCAAGTACATCAATTTTATTTCGGCATAAATCTAAAGTAGATATTTTTATTTCAGGTTAAGCAGCATTACAATTACAATATTATAACTACAAAGCTCAATTTACCTGATTTAACAGGGTTGTACATATTAATTTTCTGCCAAGAGTATCAGACGAATCAAATCATGATTTAATATCACTTAATCACGTGGTACTAACTCACCAGGGCGTATCGAAACTAAAACGCCCCCCCAAACCCGTTAATTTGAATTTCAAATCTACCCTGTCTTTGGAAAATCAATGATTGTCGGTCTCACACAACACCGTTTTTCTTCAAACTTGTTCCATTAAATTTCCTTCACAGAAATACCTTTCAGTCGAGACATTGCTTTTGTTTACAAAGTCCCTCGTTTTAGCGGCGTTTTGGTCCCCAGATGTGAGAAGTTTTGATACGCCCCGGTGAGTTAGTACCGCGTGATTAAGTGAAATTAAATCATGATTTGATTCGTCTGATACTCTTGGCAGAAAATTAATATTTTAATAATTAATATGCCGAGTGAACGAAGATGAAATTGTAATGTATTCACATGGAAATAATGTACAATACAATACAATACAATACAATACAATATAATACAATACAATACAATACAATTAATACCATGTTTGTAGGGCGTACATTCCAGTTTCTAAATATGATTACACATTTAAGACATGCATGCAGTGATATTGTTTGGATAGTTACCGACCAGTCATTCGCGTACGTAGATGAAGAAACCAAGACAGTTTCAAAGAGAAACGGAAGACAGTACATCATACAATAACATACATGTCTAGTTAAAAAACAGGATTATATTTATAATCTGAAAATCTGTATTTTTGAAGAAATTTCGGGGTGAAAATCTGTTTTTCGTCTTCGGGATTCAGCTAATTTCTAAAAATATATCGGGATAAATTAAAACGGTTGAGATTACTTCATTTACAAGTTTATATCAAATTAGTTTTACAGTTAACATCAACGGTAATGTCTCAGAAACTAATATTGGGGATATTTCATTTGTGTGATCGTGGCATAAGCAACGACTAAGATTTGTTTTGAATTTACAAAAATTTATTTAACTTCATTCAAAATTGAGCTAGACGCTTCAAATAAAAAAACATTTTAAGGCTGTTCTCTTCCTCTATCATCATCATGGTCATATTTTCAATGGTTATGGGGGAGGGTGCGATCGCACCATGGCACCACCTCCTGGCTACGCCTATGACATTGTAAGACGTAACATTTACACTTTCAGTGGACGCTTCGTCGAAAATTGGGATAACTTAAATTATGCAATCAAAACGTTACACGTTGCATCATGTAAAATAACACACGTCACCTCTCTACTAAAGTAACGATAGCTATTTACAGATTTAAATCACATACAGTATTCATTGATTTGCCATGTTTTTCAAATATAAAAAGCTTTCTAATGATATTTAACTTCATATGTTATTATGTTATTAATATGTTAGATTTTCGTATTTTTTGATTTTCTGGGTACCCGGTTTTTTCGACCGGGTACCCGCTTTTCTCGACCGGGTACCGGGTACCAAGTTGTGGAACCCAGTATGGAGGATTTAGTACCCGGTACCCGGTACCCGGTACCCGGTTTTTTCTACAAACCCGTAATATACTGTGAACTTGGATTCCATTTTGATCTAATTTTTCAGTTGAAATTTTACATTATGCTCTTGATATATAATAAGTCATACTTTTTGTACTTATTTATCACCTATTCACAAGAAATCTTTTAAAACGATTATTTCTTTAAAAAGTGGACCCCTGCTCAAATCTTATAATGTTGTGTGGTCCTCAACAAGCAAAACCATATTCAGTGCTATTAAATCTATCAATATAATCTATAATAATGATTGAAACTGGAATAGGAGGTAATTTTAAAAGTTTTGTCAATTCCTTTATCACTAATATTAAGTCCAGAACTGCAGCTCAGATTTTAAGAGCTATAGATGATATTATTGTATATCTAAATACAAATAATTTGCAAGGTATTTTGCTGGTTATTGACTACTCAAAAGCCTTTGATTCCATATCAAAGGAATTTATGTTGTATTCTCTTAAATGTTTTGGTTTTGGTAATGGGTTGAAACTTTGAATAAAAATAGCCAAAGTCATATTTTTGGGTTTGTGTAAAAAACTGGGTGACTGGGTAACCGAGTAGCTGGGTGACCGGGTACCCTACCTTCCTACCAGGGTTAGGAATTTGATTTTTTCATTTTAAGCCTCAAAACGCCCAACTGACATCCCAATCAAGGTACCTGTGACACAACCAATCAAGCAAACAACCAAACAAGCAACAAAATTTATTTACCAATAAATCAACCGGCAAAACGACAAAATTAATATAATGAGGGTTATTATAATTATAATGTCAATCAGTGAGGCAATAAATCAAGCAACTAACATTGTTTTGTACATCGTACACTAATTAACAGATAAAAATGGCAAATAACGTTTCAATTTACGCGTATGTAAATCTTCCAGATTTGTTTAAAATCTAGTAGAAATCGTCATCATAGAAAACAATCATCGATATCCTGTCAATCACTCAGACAATAAATCAAGCAACTAACCTCATCGTATGTGTAAATAACTACCTAGGACTTCCGAAATTCAGTCTCTTACAGGTTCTTGGTAAAATTATAATGTAAAAATATTGACGGGTAGTCTACAAATGTGCAACTTTGAAAGTTTGTAACCCTGCAAGGAACGTCAAGTACCAATTACCTGGCTACCCAGTCACCCAGTTTTTTACACAAACCCCATATTTTTCACAATGACTGGATTGTAGGTAACATTAAATTAGATTGTGGTATTCGTCAGGGGTGCCCCCTCTCTCCACTATTGTATATAATTGCATGTGAAATGTTGGCATGTAGATTACAAGGTAACAACGAAATCCACGGAATAGAATTGCCAGGTTTTAATGAAAATGTTAAATTACTTCAGTATGCAGATGATTCCACAATTTTTGTAAATGATGAGCAATCTTTTTCGAAATGTTTAGATGATTTTGAAGTTTTTTCAAATATATCTGGTCTTAAAATGAATGTACGTAAAACCGAGGCCATGTGGTTAGGGAAATGGAAACATAGAAATGACTCAATAGGACAAGTTAAATGGAAACTTGGAAATTTATATAAATGTTGTGAGAAATGATGTAGATTTTGAGCCTAAGTTTATAAAATGTTTTGTTTTGATCTGCAATCAGCCTTTGCAATTCAATGGATCAAACGTTTGTTAGATGAAAGCAGTGGTCACTGGAAGGGTATACCATTATATATGTTTAACAAGGTTGGAAAATGTTCAATATCTTGAATAGCAATATTGATTTTAGCAAACTTAAAGGATGTGAGCATTTTAACAATTTTTATAAATCTGTACTTAAAATATGGATGCAACATAATAAGCATAAAAATGATACCATTCTGTGGAATAACTCTAACATTACATGGAATGGCCACCCTTTGGTTTTTATAATTGGATAAAGAGAGGAATAATATTCATGAATGATATTGTCAAAAATGGTAGACTTTGTACTTATGAGGAATTGATATGTATAATTGGAAAAACAGGTCAAACTATACGTCAATATAATATGCTGAAAGCTTGCATAAAACAGGATTTGTATGAATTAAACAACACTGATGAACAATTGCATTTTAACAATATTAATGTATCATCACAAAACATCAGAGAGTCACTTGTTCAAAAAAAAGAATATGTAAAATTAAATATAATGGCATAGACATATCTGAAGGAATATGGGAATCCCTTTTTCATTGTACAAAAGAAGCATCATTGTTAGTTATACAATGGGAGATTTTGCACAACATATACCCTAATAGTACTTATCTGAAAAAATGTTAAATAAAGAATAGTGATTTATGCAAACAATGCAATGCAAGAGATAATAACTTACATTTTTTCGTTACTAAATGTCCTTCTTTAAGTATTTTATGGCAAGGTAGCCAATTAAACGATAATGAAAAGTTAGGTCTGACTGAAATGAAGCCAGATTTATTTTACGAAACGCTCATTATTAAGAAAACTATTCATGATTTCATATATAAGAACTGTGAAGGAAATTTATTGTCTTTATACGAGAGCGAAAAAGCTCCCAGATTGTAAATATTTTGTAATGTACATGTAAATTTGTTATTTGGAATAAAAAAAACCCAAAAAACTAGTAACTACATTCTGAAAACAGTAGAAATATTAGTCAGAATTATCAAATACAAAAAGTTACAGGACTTTCATTTGTACTAATTGAACACCCTGTAAATATTTTTTTTGTGTTTTAGTGCTTGGTGGATCTGTATTAGAAGAGGAGACGGTTGAAATAAACTTCCACCAGTGGTTAGGTAGTGTTACAGAGAGAATAAACCAGACCATGCATTACCAGTTTGATGGTAAGAAGTACATTTATGTTAAAAATACCATCATCTTTTCTATTGTATATTTCTAAGTTGGCCACCCAGTTGAAAATTCGAACCATTTTTGTAAGATACTATTTGACAACTCAGGTACCACTTCAAATTTTTTTGCTCATGCCACGGGAAATAGGACCTCTTCTAAAATCTAAAGAAAAAAATTTAATTTAAGTTCTTGTTTAGATGATGAAAAGAATGACAAAATAACATGTTTTAAATCACTCAATAAGTGAATATGTGCCACCTTTGCTTATATTTTCAGGCAATCCAGAGCCCTTGGTATTCCATGCCCCTCAGATATACTTTGACTGTCTGCAGCAGAGGATCTCGGGAGGTCAGAAAAAGAAAAGACTGCCAAATTCCACAACTGGTTTTATCCGCAAAGATGCTCTTCCACTTGGAACATTCATGAAATATACATGGCATATCACCAATATACTACAAGTGAAACAGATCTTTGACACTCCAGATGTAAGCGCAGTCAATATCGTAGCTCAAAAGAGCATCAATAGATATTTCAGAGTTTTAACAATTGGCGCAAGCCACTTATTTATTTCAAAATTTCTTAACCTTCATGTATTGATTGTTTGTTAACAACGTTTTAATGTTTTCATTGATCTCTCAAATGTGTTTTAGATGACTCTTGATGTAACTCGTAGTTTCATTGAAAACAGGGATGGAACATATGATTGCTATGAGGTGCCCAGTATTTCTATGGACAATATCATGAAGAAACAAACTCCAATACGACCATTTGAACTGAAGACATACCTAAAAGTTGGTAAGTTAAAAATCTGTCAAAAGAATCCTATTCATCAGCTTTAAAAATAATGTAGTAATACACTGTATACCTTTCTTGATTTAACCCTGAATCAAGCTTATCAAAAGGAAAGGTGGCAGGGTTTATTGGGAAGGTCTATTATTAAAAGCAGATGAGGTGAATAAGTTTTACTTTTTGAGAGATTTGCAAAAATTCTACAAGAAATGCCTTTGATAGAGTGGTGTAGTAAATTGTTCAGAAAATTGCCAAAATACTTTTTCAAAAGATTAAAAAGTTCATATTTAATATTTTTCAGGAATGACAGCCCCAGATCAGACAGAAGCTACGCCATTCATCATAGAATGGATTCCAGATATTCTGCCTAAGTCACGCATAGGCGAACTCAGGATTAAATTTGAATATGGACATCAAAGGAATGGCCATAAAGAGGATAGGACAGTGCAGGCCTTAGCCCAACCATTAGACGAGGTCCCACCCACATTATATAGATTCACTAAGTTAGACCATAATCAGTCATAGATGGTGCTGAAGTCAAAAATCCTGAAATATATATTGTGATGCAGGCAGTGATTAAGTGTATAGGCTGTCTCAAAAAACAGCACAGATAAACCAATCAATATTTTCAGACATTTTTCCATGGTCATGTAGCCAAAACATGTAAGTTTTTTCCCCTATACACTGTTTTTAATTCAGTCTTGCCTTTTTGATGCTTTAACCCTTTACCTCTTACACCACATAATCAATGTAACCTCATATTTCGATGACAGTCTGCATCCTTACTACTACATTGTTCATCATATTTGATATTTCTGGTTGAATGTTTTGATTTCTGTTCGGATTCTGGTCTTAAGTTGTTCTAGGTCTCTTAGCTTGGGTTTAGCATAAAAATGGTCCTTCAAATAGCCCAAGAAAAAAAGTATGGACCGTCAAATCTGGTGAATAGGGAAGCCCTCACAATATATATACTAGTATATTATAGCCCCCTTATACAGAGAGGTCAGACGTTCAAGAAACTGCATTGGTTGCAATTCTGGTGTAGCCTTTGTTGTGTGTAGAGGGGCTCAATCAATTTGAGACCACTGTGTTTTCATTTGGATATCATTTGGTCTCGAGGCTAGCCTGCGTAACTCTGGAAGGTAATTCCTGAATCATTTGCCGATAATTTACCTGATTCTCTGTGTTTGTTCTGCCATCGTCATCCTCAAACATCTTTCTCTGTGGCTATTTGAAGGAGTGTTTTTATGCTCATTCCAAGCAAAAAGACCTAGAACAACTTAAGGGCAACATCCAAAGAGAAATCCAAAACATTCCACCGGAATGAATTATTATCAAATGTGATGAACAATGTAGCAGTAAGGATACAGGCTGTCATCGAAATATGAGGTTACATTGATTATGCGGTGTAAAAGGTAAAGGGTTAAAGCATCAAAAAGGCAAGACTGAAATAAAATGGTGTATTGGGGAGAAAACTTTCATGTTTTGGCTACATGACCATGCAAAAAATGTCTGAAAATATTAATTTATCTGTGCTGATGATATACTTTTGGGTACATTTTTTGAGACACCCGATATATCAAGTAAAGAAAAGTCCTGATAACCTCAATAATTAGGGGTTCCATCACGTGACTTAGTTTAACTATTTAAATAGGGCATTATCAGTTACTTGTTCATCTGTCTGTCCGTGCATGCGTCCGTCCGTCAACAATTATTAGTGGCACGTTTTAAAACCTCTGTCTATAGGATTCCTGTTTTAAGTTATTTGTGTCCAACATCAAGACAGAAAACTCCTCTATGACTCCTGGTTCAAAAGCTCGCCTATTTTCAAAATGGCCGCCACTTTTGTCTCACAAAATTCACTTTTGACCCATTTCCTAGCTTTACAAATAATCTCAGGTGTCCTACATTGTAAAAACCCATGTCAATGTAAAGAGTAGTTGTATGAAATAATTTTGTTACAAAAAATCAGCAAAAAATTATATCCATTTTTTTATATTCAGCCATTTTTAGTTAACATTGATTTGTCCATCTGACTCGCGAAATCCACTTTTCCGTCAACAATAGTGGCACGTTTTAAAATCTCTGTCTATAGGATTCCTGTTTTAAGTTATTTGTGTCCAACATCAATGCAGAAAACTCCCCTATGACTCCTGGTTCAAAAGCTCACCTATTTTCAAAATGGTTGCCATTTTTGTCTCGCGAAATTCACTTTTGACCCATTTCCTAACTTTACAAATAATTCCAGGTACCCTGCATTGTAAAAATCCATGTCAATGTAAAGAGTATTTGTATGAAATAATTTTGTTACAAAAAATCAGCGAAAAATTATATCCATTATTTTAATTTCAGCCATTTGTCCATCTGTCTTGCGAAATCCAGTTTTTGACCATTTGCCTTAAAACCTCTGTCGATAGGATTCCCGTTTTAAGTTAATTTTGTTCAACATCAATACAAAAAACTCCCCTTGACTCTTGGTTCAAAAGCTCGGCTATTTTAAAAATGGTCGCCATTCTTGTCTCGCGAAATTCACTTTTGGCCCATTTCATAGCTTTACAAATAATTTCAGGTGTCCTGCATTGCAAAAAGCCATGTCACTGTAAAGAGTAGTTGTATAAAATAATTTTGTTACAAATAATTGGCACAAAATTATATCTGTTTTTTTTTTATTTTCAGCCATTTTACTTAACATTAATTTGTCCATCTGTCTCTCAGTCAGTCCAAAATAGTGGCAAGTGGCTTGAAATAATTTTGTTACAAAAGATCGGCAAAAAAATTATATCCGTTTTTTTTTATTTTCTGTCATTTTAGCCATCATTCACTTTTGAGCAACACCATGTGAGCCCAGTACCCACGGTACTCTTTATTTTCTCATTTGATATACATAATTATTAATTTTTTTGCAAGCTGTTTAAAATAAAATATTGATGATATGGATCTATTTTTTCAATAATTTTTGTCACTTAACTCAAATGTATGACCCACAATAATAGACTTGCATAATGATATTTATGTGGAGACTGCAAAATTTTGGATACATTTCAAAAGCCCTTTCATTTCGAAGTCATACAGACTCCATTATCAATATGGTACAACGTGCTAACTGACACCTCAGTTGCATGATATCCTCCGGTTATTATCCCATCGAAGGGAATTTCGGAGGGATATAGGGAACGCCTCTGTCCGTCCGTCCATCTGTCCGTCCAGGCAATAACTCAAATACCGTTGGCCTGATTTTGTTCATATTTTGTACACATATACTCTAGGGGGGGGGAGAAGTTCTGCTTTAGAAATAACATAGGGTTTTTATATACCGGATTTTCTCGCATATAAGCCCTGGGCGTATAACTGAAAGAAGGGGTAATTTCGTCTGTTATTTTACCTCTTATTTTTCGCCCATGGGCGTATAAGTGAACTTCTTTCGATTTTTGGCCCAGTGGGCGTAAAGGTGAGAAGAGCTGATGAATACAATGGTTTAGTACTGGTAGGTGCTGGTAAGATTTTTGACGGTTGCGAGCCACCACGGGGTGGGCATCAGCCATCTTCCTCAAAGACTACCGTACCTACTGTTGTAGTCCTACCGCATGTTTTGTAAGAATTATAAAGGAAATGTCACCTACAACCTTGGACTTAATGTTGAAACAAAGTAACAATCGAACGATCCAACACTGCCACTTACGGCACAGCGTTGAACTTAATGTTGAAACAAAGTAACGACAGAACGATCCACCACTGCCACTTACGGCACAGCGTTGAACTTAATGTTGAAACAGAGTTAAACGACAGAATGACAGTGACAAAATACTCTTGAATTTATTGAAAAAATCAATAAATAGTCATTTTTTATAGGCCCATGGGCGTATAAGCGTACTACATTCGATTTTTGGCCCATGGGCCTAAATTTAGGGGGGCGTATATGCGAGAAAATCCGGTATCATTTTAAAGGGAATTTAATTTGCTGATCACACACCAAATTTCAGAGAGATTGGTTAAATTCCAAAGGATAGGTATCGATATGGAGAACTGAATTCAACAATGTTTTTCTTTTAAACCAATCATTGAAAACATTCTGTAAAAAAACATGGTATTTTATGTAATGTTGACTGATTGACAACAATTTAATGCGAAAATTATTTAGAAATATTTTATATAACTGTTTTTGTTAACATTTTTTGTTTTTTTAGTGCAATTGTTTTTACTCCTTTCTACCAATTCTTGAGAATGAAATAAAATGTCTTTCCGAACTTTGTTGGAATAAATTAGCATACACAACATGTTTTTAGACCTCTCAATATTAAAGTTATACAAAGGAATTTTTGGTTGATTTTAAAAATGTATTCAAAACAAGTGTTTGATGTGTTTTTTAAAACAATATAGATGAAAGTATGTATATCTATTTCAAACTATGTTGTTACCATTCAAAAGATGGCCATTTAATTGACAATTTGTAAGATTTTCAGAAATGTTTGATGACAGGTTTAAGAGAAACGTGCAAAGCAGCTTGGACTGCCTCAATTCTACAAGGATACGATTCCCAAATTTTCACAAACAGGGGTGTTGCACTTTCAAGGCTTCTAAAATTTTTCTTGATACATTTGAGCAATGTTTCATGCCTATAAAGTTTCTCCTCTGGTTGATCTTCAATTAATTTTTCGACCCCGTCCTTAATGATCGCAGTATCAACTTTTCACTGTTCATTCATTATCCTGGTAATTTTACTCTTTTTGACCCAATCAACGGTCAACTACATCCTTTCAAGAAACATTGTAGAAATTTTATTAGGAAGAGTTCGTTATTGATTTTCTAGGAGTGATATGCATTTTCCATAAGCTTTAGAATGGGATATTGGAAAGTATGATAACTTTAAAAATAAAAAATAGGACCCATGGTCCTGTGCTCACACAGTTTGGAACCTTCAGAGGAATATACGTATATCCTGACTTTCAAACAAAAATATTGATTTGGATTTGTAGTCTCGAACTTTGAGAAACTTAGACAGCACAGTTGTGTGACCTAGTTTGATGACCTTTGACCTTGAAAATATTACTTATTTAGAGCTCAGTAAGGTCTTATCTGATTAAGCTGAAATCAATTTGAAAAATCAATTTTTTGACCTTTCAAAGGTCACTGAAGGTCAAGTAAAGGTCAAATCCTAAAACTGATGTCAGATTTGAACTCCTGGTAACTTGTAGATGATTTTCAAAAATAAATTTGGTCAAATTGAAGCAAGTTGAAAAATATCTTATTTTTACTGTTTTTTGACGTCAAATATCTCAAAAATGGTAAAAATTTGATGCTGACATATATTGAGCAATATGTAGGGAATGCTTAAATCTAGTTATGATGTAATTCATTGCAAGAAATGATCAAGTATAAGGCAAACTTTGAGAAACTTGTCAATCACAAAACCTGCCATTGACTTTATACATAAGAAATGACAAAGTCCTACTTTTTGTCAAATTTTATAGGGTAAACACCAAAAACTGTAATTCCAAGAGCTTTGAAATCTTCAGAGTACATAAGTTGCATATACAGCAACTACTACAAGTTATTTGAAAGTTCTACTTCAACAAAGTGTCTAGTATTTACAGAAAATTTGACTTTTTGACGTCAAAATCAGCAATTTCTCGGAAACCGGGCAAACTTGGGAAATGGCGATAATAGGTCAAATATGCATAATGGATATGCATAAAATGACTGTGGATATGACTCAATCCGAATAGCAGTTTTAATTTGTGCGGCCAATGTAGACGGACGGACCAACGGACGGATGGACCAACGGACAGACCAACGAACGGATGGACCAACGGACAGACGCCTGGTCGATCCCATAGGCTCACTGTTAAAAAGTTAAGTGGGGAGAACAGACTTATTTGACGCCCTGTATGTATGTGTTGACACCTAATGAATGCATGACAGTTTGCTAGGTCATGGGAAACCAATAGTAAACCAAAAGTAATCCA